TTTTGAAATATTTGACAATATGCTAATCTGCATCTATTATATTATCTATTATTTTTTATTTAAAAAAAAAATTCGAAGAGATGTAGGTTAGAATTTGAGAAGAAAGAATATCAAAGGTGCTCCTAATTAATGAGTAAGTTTGGGGAAAGGGGAATAGATTTTGAGCCCGCGCGAAGCGCGGGCGAAAAATCTAGTTATTAATATTTAGATAAAAGTAAATTACAGATTAGTTAAAAAATTGGTAATTTGTCAGAGAAAAATTTCTAGTTCGTGAAAGTTAGTTAGTTAGAAAGATACTTTATTACCCCAAGGGATCCAAAAGGGCGTTTTGTAGGGACGTACCTGTCTTGTTTGGTCTTTTTTAATTAACAAGACTACTGTATTTATAAGTAATTAGCTGATTTATTGTAGTACAATCAATATTAAGAGTACGGTACGAGCTCAACGTAACAACGGTCTATCTGTGAGCCTTGCACGCCATCTCATCTCTATCCACGCATGATACACGCATGCGTGGTGTAGTCGTAAATCATTACCAACCTGTGACAGTACCCAACCCTGTACATGTTCCTTACATATATGAAGGCCCTGCCATGCCATAGGTTCATTGGCGTTTTTCAGGGACGTGCCCAACCCTCTTTACAAAATATCAAAAAATATTAAAAACAAAATCAAAATTGACAGAAAATCAACCTATATCACGTTCGAACACCGGATCAGAAACCGGATCAAATATAGTCAAAAATCGGAAATCAAAAACATTGTTTATCTTCTCGCTGATAAATTGGTACTTGGAGACTGTTTCGTACAAGCTCGCGCAGGAGCCTATATAGGCTCTAGATTTATAGAAAGGGAAACGACACTACACTCATAGTTCCGTCGGTAAAGAGATTGTGTATTTCAAAGTTAATTAGAATTTCAATCTCGGATTATTTTATAATAAACGTATACGCCGTATTAGAAAGTTTTGTGCAAAGAACAAACTGCATAAATACAAAATAAGAAAATGATGAATTAGTAATGAATAATCCTTTCTTATATATGTTTCAATATTTTTATCTTTTGTCAGAAATTATTATAAGAAGCCAGATTTCCTGTATATGCTTATCTCTCGATAGGAGAAAACAATCCAATATGCTTTCCAGACTTAAATCTTCTTTAAGAAGGGATCATTCATATTAAACATATTATTCAAACGCAGAATACATAAAATTGGCAAGAATATACAAAGAATAAATATAATTGAAGTACTGTGTCAATTCGTAATCGTTAGGAAATAATCCTTTTATCTCTCTATCTCTTTCGACAGGTAATTAAGAACATACATACATCGGACACAAACGAAAGAATGATTATGCTTATACAGTCTATTGTGCTTGGTTTTACAAGTCAAATATAACGTACTTTCTATATCAATTGACACAGTAACTTCCGCAATAAATCGAATTATATAATGAGTATTAAAGCGATTAATAAACAACTCAGTAAAATGAATATCGAATTTAATTAAGTAATAAGGAATCTTTCGTATATAATACGTTTTTACGTAAACGGTAATGAATGGCCAATAGCCACGAGTTCGAATCACAATATACGCAAATATAATACCGAATACACGTGAATATCCAAATCACGTTTCACTCTCTGTCATATGTATCTATAATGCAAGTGTAAATTACTATACATCGAGAATAAATGAGTTTACTCGCGGGTTGCAACCACTCGAAATGAACGTAATTTATACTGAGTTCAGTTAGATATCTAATTCCGGAATATTTACAAGTGGCTACGTAGCCTTTCTGCGAGGACATAGTTCGTCGCCTCGTGCTTTCTCGAACACTGTAATCAGAAGATCGTAATTTATGATAGAACGTTAAGTTCATCATAATCTTCTAGAGAATTGTATAACAATCTCTCTTAAGTGAACTCTGAGTTACAAGAGCTCGATATGTTACCTGAAAGCAACTGCCGTGGTTGTTTCTGGATAATAATGGTCTTCTTGACCAAGCCTCTGAGGGCATTCTCCAATGGCCAAGATGGCCGTTTCGTCCTTCGTTAACGTGGTTACGACGTAATGGCGAAGTTCGTCCTTCCTTCATTAGGCTCTACCCGAGGCACGTTCGATAACCTCTTTCCTCTAATCAGGGTTGCAAAAAGCCTCCTTCGATAGTAACGATACCTGTCTGCTTTCGTTCTCAGACCCAGAAGTCTGGCGGATTACAATCGCGTATCAACTTTTAGAATATTCGAGCACGACAGAATTATTCAGACGCGACTGCACGCTTCGGTAGCCGGAAGACGAATGCTCGCTCGGCGGGCTGCACGCCCGTCCCGACACGCCCACGCCTGCGCGGTATCGTTTCTCCGTACCGTGTTCCGGCGCTGGGGCGCAGCGCGGTCGGCGCAGCGCGCGCAAACACATAACATTAAAATTAAGCTAGGGAATGTAGGAGGTACCACAGGAGGTCGATTATGCCTCCGGGTGTCGGCCTACTACCGACGTCTTGACGAGAGGTATCGAGGAATAATTGCACACTCGATTACTGCTGATAAAATAATACTTTATTGCAGACCACGCAACAGCCACGAGAGTCAGTACAATTCTAACGGTCGTCGAGACTCAGTTCTGCCAACCTCGTAGCTCTCAACCCTCTTGCTAGCGCAGGAGAGGGGGCTGACCAATCGGAAGGGAGACAGATATGCTGCTCCTTACAGGAACAATAACACCACCGCCATCTATGATCACTCTACCGTATCGCCACTCAACAATGCTCACAGATGTCTACACATACACAATCTCTTCACGCTTTACTTTACTCTTTAAACAGAGACCGACGCAATTCGGGGATCGTGACGCTTGACACATCGCGCAGCCTGGTTCCTCTGAGCACGGCCCATAATTAGACTCGACGAATCGTCCTCCCGGTTCATGCTGAGGCTCAGGTCACCATTTTCGCTTATTTTCTCGCCGTTACCGTACTGCATGCGGTTCTGCGGCGCCTCCGCGTTCCCGCACACCCCGTAAGCGCGAGCGATGGTGTGCAGCCGCTGCGGCTGAGCACGCGACTCTTGCGTGTTTCGGTCACTCCTGTTGTCACAGCTCGCCCCGGGGGGCCTTGTGTCGCCTCTCTTCCGGATTGTTACTTGACTTCTCAGCGGCGCATGATGCTTGCACCGGGGTGCCGTCGCATTTGACACGGTGCGTATCTGCTGTACGTTCGGAATATTGGGGTTGCCGCTCAGCGGTGAGCCACCTCTCATAGCGGGGTAACCCGGCCACAGCCGCTGGTTAGGTCGCCTCTCGCATTAACCAGATGGCTCTTCGTTTCCAGAAACTTTGTCATTCGATCCTGCCGTATTCTCCCCTGGTCTCCTCCTCCTGCTGTTTGTTACTTCCTTCTTCTTAATCGGCCTTTGTTTTTCCTTTCTCCTCGTCTGTCTCCATCAATAGGCTCTCCTCAAGCATGCTTGCTATCTCCTCATCCTCAGGTTCTTTTGGTTTCTCGCCATCTTCTTCCCTCCTTTCCTTTCTCTTTTTCTTCTTCTCTGATTCTTCTCTCTATAAATTTATCCTCGTCCATATTAACTTTTAGTCTGCTCCCTACCCTCCTCCTTGCGTCTAACACCCTCCATTTTTCCTCCTCGCTTCCCAACCTCACCAGCATCGTCAGCCATTCTCTTCTCAGCCCTATCACGCTTGCTTCCTTCATTTCTACCTTTATCTTCAGGTCCTCAGAGAACAGCTGCCTCACCTTCTCCCAGTTCGTTCCCTTTCCCGTCCATCTGTTCTTCTCTATCCTTATTATTATGTTCTTCCTCCTTCTCTCGTCATCATTCCTCTCATCGTCGTCGGACCACCACTTCCTTTCCTCTAGCCTGCCCCTGCTCTCTGCGCTCTCGTCTCTCTTCTTTTTCCCCGTACTCTGTTCCAGTCTGCGTACTTTTCTTCTCAGGCTTTCAATCTCCTTTCTCTGATCCTTTATTTCTTCCTTCAGTCCTCTCAATATTTCATTTGTTTGATCCCTTATCAACTTCTCCAGTGTCTCTTTCTTTACTGTCACCTTCGCTCTGAACTCCATTTCTTCCCTTTGTCTCGTGCTCTCCTTCTCTCTGACCTTATCTGTAATTAAATGATTTTTCTTAGCCGTCTACCAAGTAACCTCCTTCTCCTTCCTCCTCCCTCCGTCCCGCCTCATTCCCTCTATTGCTTTCATCCATTCCTCCCCTTCTCCCTTTTCACCCAATATCCTTCCTACCACGTCCTGCCAACTCTCTCCCTCCCAATCCTCCCATCTTGAACACTCTCGTGAGAGTTAGTAATTAGGTGAAAATGAATTAATTTTTTTTGCAAATTGGTAATTAGTAGAAATAAATTCTTTATTATTAAAATAATTAATAGTTTGTAAAAAATAAATTACTATTTGAAAATTAATAATTGGTAGAAAATAATTATTAATTTTTTCAATAATAAATAAATAATCTCAGGTAAAT